GGAAACTACTATACCAACAATGTGCCTCACCTCACTGATAAGCAGCTAGTACTAGTGAATGCTCCTATCACAGCGGGTCTTCTTCTTCAGCCCATAATAATAACCCCGGGATGGATAGTCCGGGGAAAGTATGCATGCATCCCCATCAAACTTTGACAAACCCATCTTGACCCACGCCCACCATGTCCAAAAGCAGATACAACATCCGAACATGGGCTTTTCCATTGTCTGTGCAATTGAAGACAAATTCGTGCCAAGACACTCTAGACTACTCTGTTCAGCCTTCCAAACGCAGATCCAGCGGCCGGCTGCATCTGGCCACTGCAGAATACGAACGGATTGTGTTTGCTCTTCTCTTTCATCAAGACTGCATTGGGTGGGCAAACCCACCAAGTGATGGCCAAACCTGCTTCCTTCCGGGCTGATATTGGCTATCTCCGTTTGGCTTGAAATTCACTTCCAACTTTTCTGCACGATGGATCGGCAGGCTGAATATGTCATTCTCCAACCCAATCGCAACAACTACTACATATAGATATATATCAAAGCGAAGCTGCTTATTAAATGATCTACAGTAGTTCAGCAAGAGCGTGGCACATATATACATGATCATAATGACCTAGTCATCAATCAAAGACCATATGAGCTGCCACACCCAACATATACAGCAACAAAACCTTATACCTGGCAACAACCCCGACGACAGTAATATGACCAGACACATCTTTTGCGCCACACGAAGCAATCAACAACCTATCGGTGAGTAACCACAACTGAGGCGGTGGACAGATCAGGCAACTACCTCAAGCCGAGAAAAGAATTGAAAGTACGAGGCGGCATGGTTTCACCTGAAAGATATAGTCTGGTGTCATGTTTCGGGGATCTGAAACATAGCCAAAGAGCGTCCTCGCTGGAGAGTGTTGGGCGTGTTACGCGTACGAAAAGGACTGGCATCCAGTGCATCAGAGGTTGAGTTCTGACTACCACTACTCCGTACCTTCTGGTTAGTACGACCTGCTATCTGAGTATGGCGGGCTTGGTGGATAGAGATGTGACGGAGCTCCGATTGGATACATTGGCATACGCTAAGATGCATATTGAAATGTGGGATGGAGGAGAGATAAGCTGGCTGGCATGGGTTTACGGATTAGGTGGTAAGGTTACGCCATGTAAATTCAGCAGAATTATTGTATAGCAACTGTAACATACCAAAGGAATAATCAAGATTTCTGGTCTCTTATTTCTTGGCTTTCTGTCTATATGTTATTATGATGGGTTGCCCTTCTATACCAACGAGAACGTTCCAACTTAGGGACTGAACAAGAACATCCAAGCGTGGTTTCCTTGCCCTTTGTGGGCTACAGACAGATGGTCGGATTCAAAACAAAAGCCCGAAAGGGATGATGGGATTAGTGCAACAGAAGAAAATCGAAAAATTATACAATTGGGTGAAATGCTCTTATCGTTATTCATCTGAATAAATGCACCGGAATATGGGTAAAGATGTCTTCAAACGGAGCAGCCCCAAGAATTAGAGGGGCATAAATATGTTGGGTCTAAGCAGCACAAGAATAACACAGTAACGGGTATCAAACGCTCAAAATGATGGAACTGGACGCGGCTCGCCCAGTATGATGCTGACGGAAGCATGCAGTCGTGGCTCTTCATCATGATTGGTTCTGAGAATCAGAATTCTGCTGCGCTTCGGCTACCAGTTTGGCCACCTGCGGCATGGTTTTCTCATCGATGCTGTTCCTCCGGCCCCAATTAGCTGGCTGCCTACGGAGGAACACGCCAACTGCACCGATATAGCCTTCGTGACGCAGGAAGTAGGCTTGCTTCTCGCCCTTCGACCAGAATTTAATGGCGTAGGACAAGGTGTTCATGGTCTGCCGATGACCGCGAATAAACGAACCGCCGAAGTAGATGTGCTTCACTTGATGCTTTTCGGACTGCAGATAGGCAATCTGCCCAATGTTGTTACTGTAAAACGTCAGTCCCAGCCGCACATGATGTAATTGAAGATGCGAAAAAAAAATAAAATAAAATAAAAATAAAAATTAAAAACATACCTTATGGCATAAAGTAGGCTCCTACTCATGTCTTCGTGCTGGAACTTCGGCTCGCCATTAGTTCGGCCGGCTTCGCCATTGGAAGAACTTTCCCCATCCAAGTCATTCGGCTCCGTCTGGTTCTTCATACGGAAAACCTTGCCAAACGTGCTAGCAATTGCAGTGTTTTTGAGACCAATTTTACTGTAATCCATGCCGTAAATGTCACCAACCAGCATGTCTACCCCGCTATTGTCCCCTCGGTCCGCCATTGCCAGCATGTCGTCGAAGGTGCGGGCACCGGTCAATAATGACATTATGCCCCAGAACGTACCACCACCGAGGTGTGTGCCGCCCACACGTTGGAATTGCTTGGGACCTGATACTTTGATCATTGATACACCGGAGCCAATGTTGACTAATAGATACGGGTAAACATCCGGTCGGGCCTCGGCAAACTGCATCGGCTCGGTTTCGCTGTAGGTAAAGACCTCGTTCGGAATCTCAGTGATGAAGAAGTCAAGGCCTATGTAGAATGGTCAAAATTTGGACTTTGCTTGTTTCCCTTGCAAGTGAGCTCGTGGTTGCAGCATACCCGTGATAAGGCACTCCATCTCGTCCTCCCGAATGATGTCCACATTGAGTGCTTCCTTGAGCTTATCGTAGTATTTGAAGGCGCCTCCACCTGTAGCCATTACGCATAAAGCATCTCCGGATGGCCCGCCGAGCTTCTCGTGTTCCTCTTTCAGTTGCTTGATGAAGTCAATGCACAGATCAATGCGAGATGTTTCGAAATTAATGAAGTTTAGTCGGCCGCCATTGTCGACAGAGTCCAGCTCCCGTGTGAAGTAAACCAATTTCGCTAGCGAACCGCCAATCTAATATCGAAGCAGCAAGAGTTAGTCAAACAAGTTGTGGTGAAGGTGCTATTGCGCCGAGGGGTGCGATTGCGGGGAGCTTCAAAATTGTGCGGGGAACCGCGGAAGCAGCGAAGAAAAAAAAAAGTGTTACTCACGTCTACAGCCACATGGCTCACCAGACCAGTGTGATGTGGAAGACGAATATCATGGCCCTCGTAATGAACTCCGTCCGTTCTTACGGGACTCTTAGATCGCGGGTCATCATCCACGATAAAGGCGCCCTTGACGTTAATCTTGACTGATCCTGGATTGGTGATGGCCTGCTCCAGGCGACCACCCCGGGCGGCGGAATTGGATGTGGATGAGGACATGTCGTGCCAATGGCATAAAAATACAGAGGGGAATGGGAGCGATGGGACCAGGGGAATTAGAAGGACAGCAAGGAGCAGGTGGCCGTACCGGCGGACGAGGTAGTTACCATCTCGGAGTAATGGGATCCCGTGATGGTCCCTACGGCGTATATCTCCTTCTGCCCGCTTTTGTTGAGGTCGGGTGGAACCGAATTATTGTTCTGACGGGCTGGGCACTCTTGGTCACTTCCTGCTCCTGTACAAGTTCGGTCAGACAACGGGCGGAAGGGATCCAAACAAAAGCAATCATCATGATTCCTGATGAGCTGGTACTTGCAGAATCGCCGGTCTTGTTGTTCATTGCAGGGATAAACTGCATCCAGCCAATTCGGAGGATGGAAGGGGGTGGCCAATGACGTTGGTCCAGCCGTGTTGATACCTCAGGCATTGACATGGAGTCTCAGGCATGAAACCCCACATATTGAGGGTCTACTAGTAGTAGTACTACTAAGAAATTCTAAACGGCCACTCGGTTGTTATCAAATGATCGTTGAATATAAGATCTCAATGCACTTGTCAATGTGATATATGCCTGCGGTCTTCGGGTTTCTGGTGACCTCTGTCGGCAATTTCAAGGTATTAGTGACTACTATTATAGAAGTTATAGTAACAGTTACTGTTATGTGCGAGTGACGTTCAATTAGCAGTGACTAACTAGTCTGCACATTCCCGGATATGTCTCCCATCCGTCACTGCGCAGTACTTTGTTTCCTGCTCCAGTCCGCGCTACTGCTTCACCCAAAGTACTAACACCCAACCAAGAACCAGTGGTTTAGAACCAAGAAATCACTAGCTCTCACCAAACTACTACTAACACTGCGGTAGCAAAATATTTGAAAGACAAAAGGCTGGAAGGCCTGAAGTTCTGTTTTTGTAGACATTTGCATATCTGTGAATATTTCTACAATGCTGCTTGGATACACTCTGTAGGCTATGTTGCGCTATTCCTGACAGGTTAGGTCACTTGAATATTCTATAATTAGGTACATAGTACGTTTAGATAAGGATACAAACACCTTTAACCTTACGAACTATTGTTTGCAGAAAAGTAGGTTAATTTATAGCTGTTCGCCGGTATGTTCCGCGAGTTCTGCCGACAATAATGATAAATCAGTGAGTATTAAAAGCTGACTGGCTTCTAAATGCCAGCTCTGCCTCAAATGAATTGACTTGACTATTTGACGACTACCTGCTCAACTGAAGCCTGCTTCAATGCCAGGTTGGACTGGCTTACTATTCTGATAGTCCCGTTTATTTCCCGCAACTTTTCTTCTCTCCCCTGGCAACCTGGAGTCCTGCAGACCAGCGACATTCACTGCCCAATTTCCATTTGCAGCACCGTGTTCTATGAAATTAACTTCTATTATCTGTCATTGTTTTGCTCTCGTCATCCCTCCTACGCGTCTCGCGTCTCCTTCTTTTTTTTAAGAAAAAAAAAACCTTCTATCTCCCAAGGCTTCACTTTCTATTGCATCGTCCCTCACTCCTCTTTTCTAGTTCAATCCCCATCTCAGGCGCACTTGGTACTCTTCAAGTATTAGAGACGATACTCATTCTCTGCAAGTATAGAACCACTTCTTATCAAGATATCCCTCACTAATCAATCACCTCTATCTAAAAATATCCAGATCGTTCGGATTACGCGTGTTTGAACCTGCCAGTGTCTCTGCCGAACAACAATGGACAGCTTTAACGTCTCGGATATGAGCACTGCGCTCAAAGAAAGCACGGGCAATCAGGCCAGTAATCCTACCGAAGCTTCCAACGCTGCCCGCGAGAAGGGTTGGACGACTCCCAAAGGCTACGATTACGAAAAGTATACTTCTACTCTTCCGCCACTCAATCAGCCCCAGGGTGACAACCAGGAGGAGCTCCCTGAATGGGCCGCTCAAGCTGCAAAATATGAATGGAAGGATGAATTTGGGGACGTTGGCCCACGGAACCCTGAGCTCGAGGAGATGCTGTTCCGCAGCGAATATACTAACCGGACCGGTTTGAAGATCGGAAAGTAAGTCGGCATTACCCTACGTGCTAATTATCAATTTCATGTCTGAACCATATTAGTATCCAAAACATCGAGGTCATCGCGGAAAGTCGTGAGAGACCGAGTCCCATCAAGAATGTAAGTCGTGTCATAATACTCACAGGACTTACCTTGGCTAATTACGTCTAGTTTGATGATGCCGGTCTTCATCCTATCATGCGCGAGAATATTCGCTTGTGTAGATACGAGTTCCCGACCCCAATTCAAGCATATTCAATCCCCGCGGTCCTTACTGGCCATGATCTAATCTCCATCGCTCAGACTGGTAGGTGATGATCCTCACACAGCAGAGTCATGCTAACTGAAGCAGGGTCTGGAAAAACTGCCGCATTTTTGATCCCGGTTCTGTCCCAGCTGATGGGAAAAGCAAAGAAGCTGGCAGCTCCGCGTCCCAATGTCGCAGCTGGCTACAATCCCAGCGCAGATTCTGTTCGGGCTGAACCGCTGGTGCTCATTGTTGCTCCTACCCGTGAATTGTCAACCCAGATTTTCGATGAAGCGCGACGCCTATGCTATCGCTCCATGCTCCGTCCTTGCGTTGTGTACGGTGGCGCGCCAGTTCGTGACCAGAGAGAGGAGTTGCAGCGTGGTTGCGATATCCTTATTGCGACTCCTGGCAGGTTGCTGGATTTCATGGACAAGCCACACATTCTCTCTCTTCGTCGTGTCAAGTAGGTTTCTCAGGTTTAGTGTAACCTGTCACTAACATGACCGCAGGTACACTATCATTGATGAAGCAGACGAACTTCTGCAGTCTGACTGGGAGTCCGATTTTGCCAAAATCATGTCTGGAGGAGGCAAGTGGTTTCCGAAATTATCAGCAATCCCATATACTGACGATTTCAAGACATCAATGAGGACGCTGACCACCGCTACATGATGTTTTCGGCCACTTTCAACAAGGACTGCCGTAAGCTGGCGCGCAATTACCTTGCAGAAGACCATGTCCGTGTGCGCATCGGAAGGCCTGGCAGCACTCACGCCAACGTTGACCAGAACGTAAGCATGCATAGCGCTTGGCTTAAGAAATTTACTAACAGTGCATTTCACAAGATCATCTACGCTGAACCTCCTCTCAAAAAGCAATGCCTCTATGACCTGCTTCTGGCTATGCCACCTTCGCGTACACTGATTTTCGTGAATTCCAAGACTCAGGCAGACTTCTTGGATGATTACCTTTACAACATGGGTCTCCCAAGTACCTCTATTCACTCTGATCGCACCCAGCGTGAGCGGGAAGATGCCTTGTAAGTTATTACCCTTCATACCTCGTGCTCCAATGTTAATGCGGTCAAGGCGTGCATTCCGCACTGCAAAGTGCCCCATCCTTGTGGCTACCGGGGTTTCTGCTCGCGGTCTCGATATCAAGAATGTCATGCATGTCATCAACTTTGATCTTCCACGGGTTCAGCATGGTGGTATCACGGAATACGTTCATAGAATCGGTGCGCCACCGTCCCACAATTCAACGGCATAACTATGGAATTAGCTAAGACTTTACAGGACGCACCGCACGCATTGGTAATGAGGGGCTCGCCACCTCGTTCTACAACCATGACAATGATGCGGACCTCGCCCCAGATCTGGTGAAACTGCTCATCGAGAACAAACAAACTGTCCCTGACTTCCTCGAATCTTATCGTCCTTCGGATGATGTTGTCAAGTTTGACGACGATACCGACGATGAAAAGAGTGGTGAAGAGGACAACAGTGGTAATAACGATGCCTGGGGAGGAGGAGGAATTCCGATGGAGTCTGATGACGCCGAAGAGGCCGAGGATAACTCGAAGTGGGAATTTTAATCCACGTCCTGGCTTTGCCACGCCACTTTTTACCTGATGTCGCCTGGAATCCCATTACTTCGATCAAAGCTGTGGAGAGAAAAATGGAGGAAAATTACGAAAAACAAAGGAGAAAAACGCCAGATGTTTGTGAGTGAAAGGTCATGCTCGTTGGGGATCCGGTGATTGCGTCTATTTCCACTTCTCTCTTTTCAGAGATCATATCATGATTCACCAGACAGGAGCTGGTGTGCAAATTGTTTGACTCCATGGCACGGAGAATATTTGCAGTCTATCTCTCTCGCCTTGGGATCTCACAGAAGCTCGGAAACGATTGTCCCTGTGAAAGGACACAGTGGACCTGGGCTACCTGATTGATCCAACCAACTGCAGGCCATGTTGGGAGGCAGGGTGGGAGCGTGGCAAGCAATTGTCATTTCCCTGCTGTACGGAGATTAAACATAATGGTAACCGATCTACTAAAAGTGATTCTTTGCTTCAGCGAGCTAGAGTTCCTAGATATGCGCTTTCCTTCGGGTGCACCAACTTGCTCTTTCCTAGGGTAGAATATAGCCAACCGGTAGATGACTTCGCACTCTCACGTAGACTTGGGTGACACATGCCCTGGAGATTCAGCAACGCGAAACCTACGCTAGAAATACCAATAGCTGTGGGCTATACTCAATGTTGTGCGCAATCATGGTGACCTCCAAGCAGTCCATCATCCTCCTTATACTTATAACCTTCGCCACCTCAGCTGCTACTCGTGTGTTCTTTCCGAGCAACACAACTAGCAGCAACACCACCGGCACCCCCTACAATCTCACCGCTCCTATAATCATTGATACCTTCAATAACTCACATCACAATTCCCTAGGCTTCTGGCACGGTGGCTTAGAAGGACTCAAGATCGACTACGGCCACAACTATGTCCGCTTCTACCCAACAGATCCCGACCATAACTACAACACGCAGCTCTCACCAGCAACATGCTTCAACCTGCTACCCTACCGGACAACCCACTACTTACACGTTCAATTTACCGGTCATACCAACTTCAGTGTTTCTCTCACCCAAAATAACATCCATTGTGACTCCACCCGCAGCCCGTTTCCTGAAACCTGGGACTCTGTCGAGGCCGCCAGATACGCACGCGGCAACGACATATACATTCCTCTCTGGCATTTCTATATTGATCACTCGCGAGCTGTATCGGTATCCTTCAACGGCTTTTTCTCACCTGGAGCGGTTACACTCTACAAGGTTGAAATTGTCAATGCTGGTAGTGTACCCGCAGGGTTTCCGATCCCACGTCGCGAGGACAACGGTCGTGTGCTACTGAGATGCTCCCGGCCCGGGTCGTTTGCGTTTGGAATAGATGATGGGCAACCAAGGTTCGCTCAGGAGGTGATGAAGATACTCGAGGAGGAGAACATTTTGGTCACATTCTTCGTGGTAGGACTGGGATTGAGAGATTTAGACACCAACTTCTCGAGTGTTTACCGAGAGATGTTGAAGCGAGGACATCAGGTGGCTCTACATTCGGATACGCATCGGAAGTGAGTGGCCCTCTATCATCTGGCTTCAATTGGATACTAACAATGAGAATATACAGATTGGAAGGGTTGGATTCCGTTGATGCCATTGACCGGGAAATCGTGGACAATATTAAGTCGTTTCGACAGATCCTTGGGATTGAGAGTACGTAAATCTTATTTATCATTGTAGAGCTTCGCTGATTGTTGACAGGTCGCTATTTCCGTCCTCCCTTCGGCACACTGGGTGCGAGAACCCGTCAACGGCTCGCAAAATATATTAAGGACCCCCAGATCATCAATTGGAGTGTGGATATTGAGGATTGGCTGTGGGCGGATACCAAAACCCCCGAAAAGCAGCGCGAGGCCTTCATCCGAGACGTGAGACGCGGGGGCAATCTGGCTGTCATGCATTTCCTCAGTCCGACGACGGTGCAATACTTCCGTGAGGTCATTCGATTTGTGAAGAGCATGAATGCGACGATTATGCGCATTGACCAATGCCTCGAAGACCCACAAGCTCCCCCTCTAAACATTACGGCCCCTTGACTCAGGTGTCCGTGCCTTCCACTTCCTAGGTTCTGTCCTCTATTGGCTCCTCTGCTTTGTATCGAATCCATTTTCTTAGGCATCACTATGAGAGGTTATTATTGCTGTTATTCCAACCGCTGTAGGTACGGTTATTCAAAAGTAGCCAGCACGAATCCACAAGAGTGCCTTTAATCCAGTAAATCTCCAACGCTTGTAGCTACTTTGCCAAACCCATAATTTAACATCTACGAAACACAACTAGCTTTAATCTCATAATCTTTCCGATTCGGTCTAGCTAAACACCCGTGACAAGCTAGCATATATATACGCTAGCTTCCATGCTGGCTTTGAACGCAGACACACAAGTCAAGTCAAGTGAAGTACAGGAAAAATAGAAACGAAGGTACCGACAGTCCCAGACGCAGTGGTATTGATGCAGGGAAGAAAAAGCAGATGCTCAAGATAAGACAGAATGGAATAGAAAATACCGCCGACGCCTCTCCCAAACGCCATTTCAGCATCGCGTATACTTATACATATACGTATGCCGATGCGATGCAATCAATGATGCATGCTACTGGGCTAGTAGCAAACTCGATCACTCAATCAAATCAAGCAAGCCCATGGTTATACAACACACATGAATCAGAAATCTGATTGTTGTGTTTTGGTTCTTTTGAGGAAGAAGGAAAAATAATGGTAAAGGGAATATTCGTCCGGCGAAATTCAAGGAAAGGCAAACACGCTCAGAGTCCAAAGTCAGGATGAGGACACCGCGGTGCGTTGTCCATCATGTGGTCGATTGTGCTAAGGATCCAGCCAGATCGGGCTGTCGGGTTCCTGACTCCCAGTCGGGGCGTTTCGCCTGTGAAGCAGATGCCGTCGCGCATGACGAATTGCGCGCAGCTTCGGGAGCTGGAGCAAAGGGTTTTGCATTCGTGGAAGTCGGTGATTTTGGGGTGTTCTTCGTCGGAGAGGTTGTCCCAGCTGTCGCGGACGTTGGAGAGTTCAGGGTAGATGAGTTCTTTGAAGACATCGCGGTGGAGGAGGATGTTGCTGGTGGACTGAATGTGGAGGGGTTGTGTGTTAGCGGGGGTATGCTGGCTATGGGAGTATGGGGATGAGCTTACCTGTCGACGTCGACGTTTCTCGAACTCGTAGAGATCCTGGATCTCGTGAGATGTCAGGTGATGGAATGCTACTGCGGGGAAGCACCATGGCTTGCGGTAGAATCCCTTGGCGAATTCGTCCAATTCTCCGACGTTGGAGTTCTGCAGGATCGGCCATGAGTAGCGCAAGGGTACACCGGCGTCGGCGAGGACCTTGCCTAGGACGCAGTCGCCAGCCCAGTGCCAGTCGGTGTATTCGTTCAATTCTACGGTGCGGGTTGCGTACTCGTTCGAGGCGAGTTGCATAGCGGGGTTGGAGACAACGAAGCCGGAACCGCCATGCGCAAAGATGACGTCTGCGATCTGGGTCTCAGTGCCGATGTAGTGGGGTTCTTTGGGATCGAAATGCGAGAGCCATTCGAGGAGTGTCGGCCACGAGAAATAGGTATCTGCCTCCATGAAGACATACCATTTGGCGTTATTCTTGTAGGTGAGGGCCTGTTGCACCATGGGAAGGAATTTCCATTTGTCGAGCTTCCAGCCCGGGTTGTTGGGCTTGCCAATGTTGGAGTTGGCTTCATCAGCGAAGTCGGCTGATTCGAGACCGGCGCGACCTTGTTCGCGGAGACGGTTGTAGAGGTTGAAGTCGGCAACGGTGTCTCGGACAGTGCTGTCCATAGTGCGGAGAGCGTCATGAATTTTGACGCCTTCGATTTCTTCTTCGAAATCCGAGAAGATGATATAGTTCGGGACGCAGCGCAGGGTTGTCTGGAAGTGAACCGGGACTTTGTCGAGGGCTTCGGTGACACCTGTCTTCATGACCACCAGGACATCTTCGATCCCCTCGAGAGGGGGGCATTCGGGCGGCTCATTCGGAGCGCTCTGCGGGGTGGTCTGCGGAGTGCGGAGCTGGGTAGCGCTGCGGGTGTAGAGCTCCGGGCGGATGGAGAGAAAGTGGTAGAGGAGGAATACACCCAGGAGGGAGGCGAGGATGGTGATGCGACGAAATCGACGGACTGCCATTTTTGCAGAAGCGCGCGGTGAGGGGAAATTTTGAAAAGGCTGGGATGGAAGCGGTCGCCGACCTGCAGCGGAGCGGGATCGAGACGCTGAATTGCAATAGAGGTTTGAAACAAGCAAAAATTATTATTGATGATACAAGGTGTCAATGCATCTTTCGTCGTCACTGTGCGCCAAAAATGCAGAATATTTCGGGAGAAGAGCACTCGGTCGTTATTTGCCGGCGGGGAAATTCCTGGGGAGAAGCAGGAACGGAGGAGGCTGAGACAAAGGGATCGGAGTCCCCTGGCGGTGGAGGGGAGAGGGAGGAACAGGAGAGAAAGGAGGAGGAGGAGGAGCAAGAGCAACAGGGGAAAAAGATCGAGGAAGCAAATTCCCCGAGATCGACACCAGGCACGTTATGGTTATTATTATTACTATTGTTCGGCGACACAAGAAGGCGTGGAGATGGCGACGTAGGAAGGCACGTAGACGGGCGAAGATCGGCCCACGCTGGCCGGCGATCTGGAGGGCTCCTAAGCTATCGATGACGCGTTAGCATCGGAATGGCACCGTCTGACTGGAGAATGGAGCTTGATCCATCGCTTAGCTTGGGGGTCTTCGCGGCGCCTAACCATGGATTGCTGAGGAGCTGCAAACCTGAAACCCGCCCCTGACGAGACCCGTCAACCGGTGAAGCTGTCAGAAGTTGAAGAACTTCCGAGATTGCTCCATCTTTGGTGAGAGGATCAAAATCAGACTCTCAGTCGATCAATCACATCATCATGCTGTTTCTGGCGTTAAGGGGGGAGGAGAGGGGAGGAAGAGGGATAAACATAGGAGATTCCCGCAATGGAAGAGGGAGACACGAGGAAAGAAGGGGAGGGGCGGAATGTGTGTGTGGGTGTGTGTTTGGTTCACCTCAAACCCGGCATTTTGGCCCCTTTGGACGGACTGATTGTTTAAATCTGACAGCAGCACTAATTACTGTTACATCTTAAACATGGTGGTTGAGACACGGTAGTTAATTCATCTCCTACGCTAACTAACTATACAGAAAACTTCCGGTTTACACAGTAAAAACGAGTGAAGGACCCTAATTAATCTATCTGGAGAAGACCCTCCTGCCTCAGGTTTAGCTGCATTCGTCATGCTTCCAGAAACGCACACTTGAAACTCTTTCCTTTCGCACGCCACACTTTGGGTGTCTCGACCCAAAATCCATGTCTAGGACTTGGCATTGTGTTGAGCAATTTTGGTCGAATGCAACTTGACCAACTCAGGGATGATCAAACTTTCGATCTCCACTCCCTCAGCCGAGATGATGGCCTCGTCTTCCAACGGTCTCTGACTCTGCCCGCCCCCACCGGTTTCTGCCTGAGTGGACTCGCCCGCCCGCTTGGCTTCGGCCAAACCAACCTGCGCCTCACTGCCAGAAATGCTCTTGCTGCGCCGCGATTTCGGCACCCGGATCCAGCGCTCGTGCGGGGGGTCTGGGGTCACGAACACCACCTCCCATTTGCGTGTGGTCAACAGGTTACCAATCACCAGATGGTGCGCATACCGCTGGAGTGCCGTCTGCGCCTTGTATACGAGCAGGTTGGGGTCCGTTTCAAGTTTGAACGACACAATCATACTGCCATCCGGCGCCCACCCATTCACCAACCGATGTAAGAACTTCGGCACAGGGTCCAGATCAATGATCAGTTTCTTACTATGAGACGATGGTTGCGGCTCAATCCCGCCCGTGTAAATGTCCGACGAGCCAACTGCCTGGTCCTTGGTCAAATTGTCCGGCAGCTCCGACGACTGGATCTTGTGCTCCGACATGCGGTCGCTGGGGATAAAGAAATCGCTGACGGCAGCAGCCAGGTAGAACAGGGCGTTGGGGCCCAATGGCTTCATGAGCTGAGCCAGCGACCGTAGTTCGAAGAGGTACTCCGAGACTGTGGTGAACGGAAGCAGGAGCAGGAGGTTGTTCCGCTTCGCATAACGATACTTTCGCAAGACATCGCGCATTTGGTCCTGGTACTCACTGCGCACCTTGATCGGTCGGTGATCCGACTCGTTGGTTTCTGTGGCATCAGGCACCGGTTCCTCCTCATCCATGAAATCCAGAAAGCAATTGGTCGAGTGGCTGTAATGCCGCGAGTATGGCAACAGACTGAACTGCCGATGTAGGAAAATCACTGCATATCCCTCCTGGAGAAAGTATTCTGCCGACACAGCACCTCGCGTGCCCGCGCTGAAGTTGTCAATGAAGCGAACAGTCTGGTTCTCTGTACAACGGTCAGAATCTTTCTCACGTGCACGAGCCATCCCACGAACCAAGAGGAACTGTGGTGCCCCCCGATGTCACCAGGACAAGGCGTCGGTTCGCTTGGGCGTGGTAATCGACAAAAGCTCGAGCGAGGGCTTCATGCTTCGGGAGGGCTTTGGGCGGGGGGTAGTTGTTGAAGTAGACCGACTCGGCCTCGGCGGGCGTCATCTCTGGCGTCGGAGCGGACGTCATACTGAAAGGTATAGCAATTGTTCACTGTTATGCGACTGAGATGTATGTATGTCCAGCAATTTTATTTCTATCAATGCGTTCGAACGGTTCTATTTCATCAATCCAGGCAAAGGCGGGGATGAGACAAAGGTCGGTACGGAAAGGTGAACGACGGAGAGAATCTGGGAACCACGACAGCTCTGCAAAAGCAATCTGTTTATTGCAGCCAGAGGACAAGCGATCGACAACAGAGAACGGGAGGGAAATCAGGAGAAAGATCGAAGTCTTGGTGTTTTGGTGTATTCTGACATATGCCGGGTAGTTCGGAGCACGGGGTGCGATAAGTATCGCGACTGGTGAGATGCCAGCCCGCCACCTGTGAGCTGACGGATTAGCTTTTTCCCAACTGGTTAGCACGCACTGATGGCAATTTCGCAATGACCAAAGCAATTTACAGATTTGGCTTTCTGCAGATAGATAGATTGGTTCAGATGGTCTGGTGGAATAATGTTGGTGAACTTCCACTTTTCCTTCTCACCGGGAGGGGCATTTCACCGCCTTCGGCTTATGACGCACCATCCCCGGTTCTCGGTTCATTCCTCTTTCATCCATCCGCATACAAGTCTCCCCTTTCTATGTTGTGCATAACTAGGTAAAAAAGCATTATCAAATCATATTGTTGTGAGTATTATTACTATTACTGCTGGTAGTTCACATAGGAACAGAACTGTTAGCATGGAAGAACATCAAAATATGAAAAAATCACAATTTCAAAACTTCAAGGTCTGGAGAGCAGACTTCAAATCCTCCATCTTTTGCTTCAGGTTGGTACGCCGCGCTTTAATCGCTTGCGGTTCACCGGCGATTGCTCCCAGCTCATCCGACCCCAGATTGATGACCCATTCCTGGCTAAAGACTTCGAGGGGGCTCTCAGGACCAGTCAGGAGACAATGCTCGATTGCCTGCATGTGAACATTATCCACAAATCTTTCGCGTGCGACTTGATAGTAGGACCACAGGATGTCATGGATTTCCCCCGTGATATGTTCCACATTCCCCTGGTCGCTCGCAGACTTCTTGACAGCATCCAGATCGACCACCTTCATTTCTGCGTTTGACCAATTATCATTTGTATATCTGGCATTGTCCTCTAATGCCTGAGCAACACGGGCACTGCGCAGTTTCTGGAGGGAGTGGTTGAAGTAATTGTTTAGCGTATATGGTCGGCGGTTTCTCTCAACGGACAGAAGGAACATCGCCTGGGACATGGCATTCTTGTATCTTTGTAGAAGGTCATCGAGAATGCTGGACCAAATCTTGTGATAGAGCTGTTTGCTCCCGCAAACTTTTCCCAATGCCGTGCTCAGAAAACGGTGAACTACCATGATCACATTACTCACGTGCCCGCAGGTCATGGCTTCCCATTTGCCGGTCTGCTCCTTGAAAGCATTGCAGAGAATATTGTTTCCAAAGGTCCCGAGATCAAGACCTCGAGACTTAGCATATAACTTTCCAATCCAGGCTTTGATATCCCCTTCGGGATCCTGGGGGCCCTCCACGCGGCTGACAATCTGCTCTAACTCAGGGAAGTTGTTAGGGTCAAGGCCTTCACGGCTTTCGTTTACATTCTGAGCCAGAGAAAAGCGATCTCCGGCTGCCATCTGGGCATGCATGTCGGCTTTCCCCCTTGGGCAGTTTTTAAGGTGGCCCTTCCCGTGTGGATTGTTGTTCATGTCGTTGTATGGTTGTCTCTTGTCAACTGCATCTGAGGTAGGGCAGTCGAATGGCAAAAGATGCGCTTTAGCCTGGAAAGTTGAGCTGAATTTATCAGACAAATTGACAATATGAGTAAGAAGCCGGAGGTCACTCTCTGCAAATGCTTCATTCTCTGTATAATGAGCATCACGTGCAGCTCGTGCGAGGCTCTGAAACTGGCGAGCTATACCACTCAAGAACGCACGCTGTTCCTGTTCAGTTTGGCGTGCAGGGCCCAGGCGGACCAGATCTTGATGGCACGAATCAATCTGGTTTTTGATATCCTTGCGAAGTTCAGGGAATTCGCGCTCCGTAACTTCGCTCAGGAGTTCTCCCAGTCGTTCTCTTAGGGCCTGGATGCCAATACGGTCTCTCGGCAAGGTATTCCAAGGCTGGCTGTCAAACATTCTTTCTCCTTCCTCACCACTGAAAGAAGCGTCTTGATCTGCGCCCTGGTTTCTAACCAAGTAATAGCCAAGTGTCAGCGGTCTCTTGTGCTCCATGACCAGTGAGCACAAAGCTGCCTTAGCGCTTTGCTCGATCACCAGATCCGGTTTGGTTAGCACACCAAGCGTACGCTCTCCATTTACATCATAATCTTTGGCCAGCTTGAGGATCTCCTGGGTAGCAAGATCGACGTTGCTCGGGAGCACAGCCAAGATCACCGTGCGAGCATCTTTGATATAGTTCTTGACCATATTTCGAACTAGCTCGATATCACTCTCAGTCGTAATGCCAGCCGTCGGGTCTCTGAAGATTCCCGGCACATCTATGACGGTCAGGTAGTCCTCTTCAGGTCCGCATAGCTCGATCCGGAGCACGTCTTTGCTGAAAACTGATCCTTCATTAGACGAAAGGTCAGTACGAATGCCCATACACTCGTCGACCTGTTCAAAATGTTAGCTTTGGTCAGAGAATAGTAGACATAGGTTGAGCTGGACTATCCGAACCTCCTTCAGGATTGCTGGAAATTCCGAGCGAAAGTCATCGGTGCCTGTGAGGGTCCTCTTAAAGCCCTGTACCTTCGCCCTGTGCTCCAGGGAAGCATCGCCGGCAGGGATTATCGAGATTGCGACCGAGCGATCGTCCTCACGACGGGAGGTTATCTGCGTGGCATAACGGGTACAGAGTTCCAAATCACGAGGAAACGGAATCTTGGTCAGGCTTGCCAGAAGAGAGGATTTTCCAGAACTCTGGTCTCCAACAACAACCAACTTGATGAAGATCAGTATCACTTGTGGCCATTTTTTGGGAGGTGGCAGGGTCTTACCTGAGGAAGAGGAACATGCTTTCCAATGTTTTTCTCTCTCAGCTTGTCGATCTTCTTGAGCAACTCAGAGCTATTGAGATGCTTAGGACTGCTTTCATCTTCTTCGATAGCCATGTTGACGGTTGAGCCGGCGGGAAGTCGAAGGCACTTGTGTAGAGTCTGCCAGAAACCAACACAAAATAGCTTGAGAAAAGAAAGAAAGGAAGCGAGGAGGAACTCTTGGGGGCAAGGCTTGACTATGAAAATCCTTTTCCCAGGGCATGTGACTGTCAGTTAATGCTGACTGCCACATTGGGCGTAGCTGTCAACAGTGAAAGACAAAGCCCAAATCTTCCACAGTGAATTGTGGACGAGATTTCGGGATAGGCAACCAGCCCTTTGTGTATCAAAACATCCGCATACCACATATAGGATTCCATGATTAAAAAAGAAGCAGTGTCTTCTTCATTATATCTTGGTGGTCAACAACATGGGGTATTCGTAGCGTGCCACCTACTAGGAAAGGCAGGAGCAAGAGATTAAGTACTGGTAGATAATCTTGAATATTCTTGTTGCTAGGGAAAGGACAATTGCGCAGGCTACGGTCATATGCGATTACCCACATAAACTCTATTTTCTCAGAGGGCATCACATTCTTGAAATCTATTATCTCAGATGTAGAAGGCGTATGCATCAAGATGCTACCATGTAGACTTAACTTGAGATCATCTAGACAACATCCCACTCGCTTGGCCCAGCAGTCCACGAGATTTTGCTCACGCACTCTCTGTGGCCTCCATAAGGACTGCGATTCCATCTTCCCCCTATAGCATCAACCGCGGATGAAGCACACACAACGACCCTTCATGTCAATTCACAGATCCTTACGCGGTCTGACCGGCATTACAGGAGTAGGAGCATCGATATGCGCGGTCCACTGCGTCAATTGAACATCTGCTGCGGTGAAAGCAGTACTGAAATTGCCGGCGAGGAGATAGTCAAGTGGGAAGGCAGGATTGAACTCAATGGCCTTATCAATCTCATCCATATCCTCCTTCGAGAGATCGAGGCTCAGAGCTTCAATATTGGCTTTCATGTGCGCCGCGCTCCGCTGTCCAATGATTGGGAAGACGTAAGGCGCCTTGAAGCGGACCCATGCGAGAGCCTGAGATTGAAACATTAGTTTAGCGGCTTTTAGACGTGGCGCAGAAGGTAGGTATAAGGGTGAAGCTCACAATGGCATAAAGACTTGTCTCATTCCTTTTGGCAACAGCCTCCAACACATCAGAAACCTTGTCATCCTCCTCAGCCCGGAGCGCCGCTCGTCCAGAGCCTTTGTACTCCGCGTTGCGCTGCTCTGCGGGTCTGAACTTCGCCTGGCCTAGCACTGCAAAAAGTGCGATTGCCATCCCTTGGTCGCGACACATAGGCACAACTTCATTTTCTAGATCTCTAAATCCAGCATTCCACTTGCCCTGGTAGACAGAGAACGGTCTTAGTCCGTTTGCGTGCGCGTATGCATTTGCCTTGACTACCAGCCAAGCGGGAGTGCCGGAGACACCTAAGTAGAGGACCTTTCCGGCTGAGACGAGTGCGTTGAGACCATGCATGACTTCCTCCACGCTGGTGGTGAAATCCCACCAATGCACATAGAGAATGTCAATGTAGTCGGTCTGAAGCTTTTCGAGGCTGTTCTTGACGGATAGGTTCATGGATTTCACGGAGTTTCCGACGAAGTTCGATTGGATGGGCTCAGTGGACAGGTGTGTGCGGCGGAAGCCGGTCGTGTATTTGGTTGCGATTCTGCCATTGTCAATAACAGGGCATACTGAAATGTAGCAATCAGAGAGTGGAGGGTGAGTACTTACACCATCTGGTCTCGATTCCCACGCTTCTTCATCCATTCTCCAATCCATGTTTCGGATTGTCCGTCCTGGTATACATTGGCCCTAAAAAGCATAAGCCTATCAGTCGTCTAAAGAGCCAGTGGGTGCCATTTGAACACACGTGTCGATAAAGTTTCCACCGTGGTCGAAAAAGGTATCCAAAATTGCGAAGGATACCTCCTTGCTGCATTCACCCATGTATGGCTCCCTACGGGATGTCAGTGAGTCGTCTGTACAATAGTAAGGATCGGATAGACAGACCAGGTTGTTCCAAAATTCATAGTGCCCAGACATAGCGGAGACACCTTGATACCAGCAGTGGGTGACAGAACCTGGTGGAAGCCCAGGAGGCACTCTGGTTTAGGGACAGGACCAGCCATTGTTGTTAAACTGATGCAGTAGAGTTCAAGATGAGAATGGGATTGTGAATGATGAATATGAGTCGAGAGATTGGGGTACCAGTCCTCCTTATATGTTTTTCATCATGCCGGTCTTGAGGCAAATATATCCATTCAACTCCGACTTGCACGTAGTCTAGGCTGCAAATCTGACCGCGTCATTGTTCGCATTGTCAGACTGCATCCATCCAAACGACGCTTGAGCATTGCCAGTGATGACGCATTTGCTACCTGTTGCGGAGTATGCAGTAGGCTGAAGCACTGACGTACTAGGGTTATTAGGCTGTCTAGGATCTGTTGGATTTTAGTTTGCTGACGTTAACTCGGCCAAATTGCGCCAAGAGCTTGACCCTGTCTGGTGGGGCGAAAATAGGCTTTTATTGAGGCTTTGGTTATACACTGCTCCTATAATATCCTCTCGAGATAATATTATAATAGCGCATGCATATAACGCGCATGTTCGATTGAACAAACCACACTTTTAAGGCATCCTATGCTGCTTTATATATTTTCCTGGGTGGGAAGATTGAGAGGTCATCATCTGGTGTTTAACTAACTTAACCATGCTCAATCAATCCCATATTCACATAGTCCAATACTCTTTATATCTCAAAGTGTGCTTACCGGGCGAGTTACCATCGATAAGGCTGTCTCTTCCCAACTAGGAAAGAGGCAACCTTGTGAGACGGATGTCACGTGAGTTTTTGGATGAGGCCGTGGCAATAGGGTGGGAATAGCAGCATTCAGCCCATATCGCAGTTTCGATAAGCCGAACTGTTATCGCAACGCACCGATTCTGACGGGGAAGGCGTGACACCTCGTCAATCCTCCGCATTCATCACATCCAACCCGCATCCACTATGCTAACTTCTTAAGTAGCAGCAAAGGTCATCTGTTTCATTTCTCTGTTGGTTGATGTCTACTTTCTGAAGTATTTTAAGTAGTTCTACGTACGCCGATACGAGTCCGCGATGACGTCCTTCAATCAACCCGGAGACACCAAGTTCACCGTGTTTATTCGCCTTCCCTTCCCCAGGGGTGACTTTGTGGATCCTCCTCCGGTAAGTGCCGCTAGTCAACTGATCTCCATATCGCTGACCAGACAGGTGGAATGGAACGCCGCCAAAGATCAGGCTCTTTGGAATATTCTCTCGCGTCCTTCAAAGGGAGATGATTTAGACTGTAATAGTGTTGCCTAATGATTATCTGATGAGATTCAGAATGCTGACGATACCATAGGGAAAGCACTGTACGATTGGCCTTATCTAGTGTTGAGGCATTACTGATAAACTTTGTAGGGCAGATCATTTCGATGTGACATTGCAGTTTCTGCTTCAACAGGCAGCATGGCTCTACGATCGGCAGCTGTCACAAGTACGTGCACAGATGAGTAGAGTGCCCACCACACAGTCAACGTCTACATCTCCTGCTCCTGGTTCAGTGTCGGGTAGCACGGCGCTGGGCCAACAGACGAAAGGTGCCACCAATGCAGGTGAGTGCTCTCCGATGATACTCATTGAGTTTTCTGACAATCAAAGGTCCTCGAGCCCCGTCGCGCCTCTCGTCACAGCAGAAAGATAGTCTTCCACAGCGTGGCAAGTCTTATCCGGCCTTGTGCCTGTATCTTGTACTAATAATCGACAATGTAGCTCCCATTCCCCGACGCACCAGCTCAACAACCACAGTCAATCAAGTTAAGACTGCTCGAGACCCAGTCCGCAACGATACTCCTGTTGCAGAGCCAAGAGAGCCTAGACGAGAAAGCTATGCCAGTAGACCATCTGCCGGCAAACGGGAGCAAGCTGCAGCGCCCCCGGCTCCGAAGTCTCCCCCTCTAGAAGATGACACAACTTCTAGTTCATCCGAGTCTGAATCCGATGACGACAACGCCTTTGGAAGTCGTCGTGGTCTAAGATTCAAGCCCCCCTTCGGCAAATTCTCCACACATAGGGCGGGCCTGAGGTACGACGAGGAGGATGACGACGAGTCCCCGGCTTTCCTGCCAGAACCTGAAAGGGCGTCGCACGAAGCATCTGGGCAGGATCTCAATGCTACGTTGAGAATGAACGCCGAGGATGTCTCTGAGTCACATCGACGCCCATCGGCACAAATGATTTCCAGAACTTCAGTCACGACCGAATCTTCCGCAAGCTCTGCTAGCTCCGGAGTCCCAGTTGCACATCCACAATCTGATAGACGGCGACGGTTGAATCAAAGCGGAGGGCCATTGAGTCCTAGACGGACGGGGGAATTGGCACATTTTAGTCCACGACAATCTATGGCTCTAAGGCGAGAGGCAAGTGACGGGACGCCTAGTATGGGCAGCAGTTTTAGTGACCTAGATGGTGAGCTTTCTTTCTGTTTGCATGATGACATACTAACCGCGTTTAGATGCGAGCGTCACACAGTCCGCGCTTGAGGAAGCACTTTTGAGCAATATTCAGCACGGTGGCATGGCCAGTCGCATGAGCACAATTAGTCAGGCGATTCGTAGTCGATATCTAGGACGGACGGAGGATCGGTTCTCGTAAGCTGCAGTGGCGCAGAGTAAATTGTCTATGAATAGCGGGCTGTTTTCGATACTATCAAATTATATTCTATATTTTCGTGTATGATACAATGCCTGTGATCTGAAAATAGAGACAACTCAATATCTGAATGGGTGCTGAGCGGTGGCGACCTGCCATTTGAGATGATCTAAATTCAACAATATATTCTGTTGACCCCGGCTGGTATAGTATGTTACCCGAGACATTGATGCAACAATTCCGCAACCACATAAGACCATGCAGAGTAGCTCTAAATATCAACTGGGGACATAATATGGGCTCCTGTATGCTTGCCACTCCACCGTAGTTTTTCCCCGACCGTTGTGTTCTCATCTATTGGTCCCGTTCAGGATAGAGACTGGGACAACATGAGCCAACTTCAAATAGTATACAAAGTTCGACCAAGAAATTTATAAACTTCCATCATGTAAAAGCAACTTTTAACAACTTCCTCATAAATATCTTGCACTATCTTCTCATCAGAGGAAAAGTCACTTATGACCGGTCTAGTTACCTTTCTAACGAATATACTCGACTCAGCACACAATATCTCAGCAAAACTCACCTAATTCAATAAACGCTGTCAATTAAAATAAACCTATTCTCCTCGAGTAAAAGAACTAACTTAACTAGCCAACAACAAACCAAAGGAACACACAATGCCGTCCCATCCGTAGTAGTACCTGAGTAACAAACCCAAACAACAAACTAGTAGTAACCGCACAGGCAACAACAACAGCAACACCAAACCTACACTAACTACTAAACCAACTAGCAAACCACACTAAACCCAAACCAACCCATACTCAAATACTATCTACCACACCAGCATCACAACCGCCAAGCTCGCCCGCCAAGTGATTTCCTATATTAAACACCCACCACTAACAACCCAACTACGCATTTACCGAACCGATCTAAAATCTCACCAGTCACCACAGTCCACACACCCCTGGTCGCAGTTCGCTTCGCTTAACTCCCGTGCAAAGAAACTATCCAAGCTAAGCCAAGGCGGAGGAAGGAATATTAGTTAGGAAATTGTTATTGATGAGAGGTGGGCAAGCAATGTACCGAGGCTACTACGGTCTACCCCTGCAGTAGTACGGAGTAGATAGATAGATACTAGTAGTGTAATAATTTGTGTTAGACGAACAATACGAGGTAGGAAGTAGTTCGTGTCGAGGAATACTAACTAATACTGAGTTTGTTCTTCTGCCCTGGAAATGGAAAGTTAATTGGGGATAAGAGTGTCTCACTTACATGCATCCTTCGCTCTATCCCACTATCTAGTAAATAGGTAGTAATGAACAATAGGAGGAATAAGTAGTAGCTACGGAGTTAACAACCGGCCAATAGAAAAGTTAGAGATAATCAATCCATGCCGTGACAGAGCAAGCATAGCACAGCACAGCACGGCACAGCCTGAACTCAAAGACAAAGTTTATAACAAAACAAAACAAAAAGTCAATTAGTAGCATCGGGTGAAACTGACCAGTTGTGTATTAGTGCGAGCACTGTGTTGTGTTCTACGCACTGCCCGACTTACCCACTAACTAGCGTTAGATGTTTTCACCGGCTACTAGCACTAGCTATATCCTGCAGAAATATTAGATTGATAATTATCTGCCGTTCAAATCTTCCGAGGTTTTTCTGTTGAAGTCGGAACTGACTAGGATGATAGGATCATGCCATAGAAAGGCAGACATGGAACATCGGACACTAAACTGGAATTGAAATAAGCCTTTGTGGGTGTATCGCCAAGGTTCCTTGGGACTTGGGAGGTGTGTCGGAGTCTGTCAGAACCACTAATCGTGTTTGTTTGGTGTAGGTTTGTAGCCGACCCGACTACGACCCGCTCCGGCTTGGCAGAGTCTGGGACTTTCAGCTGAGCCAGTGCAACTTTGGAATTTCTTTTCAGGGGGAGGGATGGGTTTGGGTTGTTGTTTATTGCACAGCCTCGAAGAAATAGAAAGTAAAATTATATGTCATTCATACATCATTAGGTATGATTATGTAGGGTCATGAAAGCTATATACAAGAAACATAGGGAAATTATACATGATGAGGTTCGTCTCGTCCGAATCGGATCTGGAATGTTTCATCGGAAAGAAAGTGAGGAAGAATGAGGGGAGCCACAGCACCGACCACCACAACCAGGTGAGAACCTCGTGGCCGGCCGATCGCTAGAATCCCCCCGGCCGAGTACGGGGGTGTAAGCCTGCCTCAGCTCCGTGCCTGAAGGTCCTTTCCAACAGAAGAATCGTGAAGACAGAGTGGGCAACTCGGTAGTCCACACGTTACGTGTACTATCGTCCCTGGTGGGACCGTGGACACAGTAGTGTAGTTGATTACTTAAATCCGACGGCCGTGGCTGGACGGGTAGCTGTGACGGTGGAACTGATCTACCTTTCACTTGCTCAAAGTGATCGGAGACAGTCGATGGAACGTGGATGCGGCCCCCGCGTGGTTTGGATGATCGGGGCCCCAGTGGTGCTGAGAAACGTCACTGTGCTTCAGATACAGCGGGGTTGTTGGCAATTGCGCTGCACGAACTCTTCGCGATCGCTGGAGCCTAAAGGGGTTCAAATCCTGGCATCGAGATAGGGGGTTTTGTTTCGTAAGGCTGTTTGTGTGCGATTCAGGGGTCTTGTCTCCGCGGTCGGGAGAGGAAAGGCGACTGCCTTCCTGGGAGGAACTCAAGGTCATAGCGACTGCTCATCGGCTGTCGAGACGATCCATAGGAAAATCATGGCCTGATCAGTCCTTCTGGATGACAATCTCCGTCGTTTTCCTGATGATGAAGTCATCATGTCCATTCGCCGGAGCCCACTCTGTGTTGTCGCTACCGGTTGATGCGGTCGACTTGTTGGTGACATGTCCCACCCCACCCATTTCAATAATGTTCTCTTCACTTTCAGTGCGTGTGATTCCGTCCGCGCGTCCGGTTCGAGTATCGTAAATGGTAGGCATGTTGCGAGTCGACCGAGAATGCACCCCCGATTTCCACCGTGCATTCGAAGCGTGATCGGTTCCGTATTGGGCTTCGTTGTATCGGCCTTTGTTGGTGTATTGACTCGTTCGCAGGAAGGTAAGTGTCGATCTCGCGAGGCTCCAGACGAATGGCAAGTTCGTCACGTACATGCCGATCGATGCCTCCCGCAGGTACCAGAATTGGTAGCTATCGTCGTAGATGTTGTAGAATGTGAAGTATTTGGAAATGATGGCACAGGCGATCTGAGGGGCAGAAGATGCAAATTAGTGACTAGTCTGGGGGCCAAAGCCAAATCGGGCAGGAACGCACCACCACAATACCCATGGAGAAGACCACGATCACGGGTAATTTGGTCTTCCAGGGCATTTTGGCGCGGATGAACATCGGCAGTATGACGCAGAGAATGAAAATATCGGAACTGATGTTGAAGACGCATTGTACCACTTCGTAGCGAAAGTAGGTGCTGCACTCCTTATGGGGTGGCGGGAGTGTCCAATATCCGGACAGGGGGCGACAGTTCAGGAACAGCACCAGCTCCGTGGTGATCCAACCGATAAGGGTGTATCCGGCGATAATTTTCACCAGCCGGTGCTGCCATAAGTTCGACCTGGAAGTGTCCGTCAGCAGTAGCTCAGCGTGGCTCAGAGAATGCACCTACGTTAGTCGGAAGTGCACCAACAGCATGCAAGCCTTGAGAGAATAGATGGTGCAGAGCTGGCACTGTATAGACCATCAAGTTAGGCAATGTTGACCTAGAATTGGGAAGTAACCATACATTCTCCGAGGCAAACTCGATCTTGGAACCTCTGACTCTTGCAGCAATATCGGAAGCTGAGAAACTGTAGTACAAACTCGGAGGTTCATACAAATTGCTACCTCCTCCTTCGATGATATAAATGTTGGTAACTGCGAATGCCGTGTAGAACCCCTGCGACCACGGACAGAGCACGTTAACGGATGGTTAAGGGTATGACACAGTGCAGTGCATGCTACCTACCACAGCGACCACCATGAGATAATCTTCGACCTGGAATCGAAATCCCAGTCGCTTGTAGCGGGCAAACCTGTATTGTTGTTACTGATAATGCCCACGGAGGATAGGCTATCTATGAACAACAAAGGGATGTACATACAGTCTCACCAGGAACAGCAGAATAGCAATGCTGTACATGATCCAGGTCTGCACGACCAGATCATGCGGACTGCCGCCACCATCATTGGCCATGATGAATTCTATGGGAGCGCAACGAGAAGCAAGAAGGTCATGGTCCCAGAACTATTCTGAACCTAAAGTACGGGGTGGCTGTTTATGAACTTCTAGAACCTGGCAGGCTATCAAGTCCGGGGCCTGCCAAACTTAGCCTGTAGCTAATTAGGGCTTTAGATTGGAGTATTGTTCGGGTAGGAGTTAGCATTATTAGCTTTCTCCTTCCTATGGTTCGTGTGGCCGCTCACCCTTGGGTGGCGGCACAAGGAGTAAATTGGGACGGCTGAGTGGTTATGGGGCATAACGCGCCATCAACGCTGAATAATTTCATTTATCACAGGATTCGAATCCTTGCTAGACTGCATCCCTGCATAAACTAGAAAATTCTGCACAAAGTCTATTTGTCAAAGCCGGGAGACCCGGATTACAACGTGCGTCGAACACGAGGTAGATAGACTCAATAGTACCCCAAATATTGTTTTCCAAAGGTGGAACAGAGCTACTCTAGTTGTGAGGTTCTTGATCATGTCTCGAATAGCGCCAGCCACAAGGCTGGAAAACATCATAGATTCGGAAATTCTCCGGCGCTTGAAAAGCGGGTTTGTGTTTCGACTTCCAACATGGACCTCATCAGGAGATGACCGGGGTCCCCCGACTAAGCTTCGGCTACGTATTGTGCACCCACCGTGACGGCCAGTCAGAGGGATCGGAATGCACGAGCAGGCCAGTTTGCCACGTACAATCGTGTCTCCTGCTTGTTTCCTCACTTTGATCGAACCATGA